AGCTAAAATTTTCAAATCGAAAGACAACCTTCAAAGAAACTGTACATATTGAGTTTTAAATGTGAATTTTGTGCTTCACGTGATGCCTCCGTCGGTGAATCTGAAGAAATTGAATGAATAAGTGTCTTCAGAAGATCTTTTGAACCTTAACCAGCTTGATGGAGTGAAACTCGTGCAAGCAAAATTCCATGTTACTTGGCCCTAACAAAATTGTATTTGATTAATCGAACCCAGAATTTAATCAATCAGAGGCGGCCAGGAAATGACTTGGACTCGTCATTTGAGCAGCCGTACATCAGTCAGAACAAACGGAGATCCGGAAATTCACACAATTCCGACATCAAAATTTTTTTACCTGGAATCTAAAAAGATAGCAGAAATTAAAATTAGTATCTCAAGAAAATCAAAAGAATAAAATAAAAAACCGGCCAGAACAGATTTTCATTGAAATGTTATCATAGGGGCCATCTGGAGCTGTGTTGGTTTTCATAATTTTCTGGAATGTCAATAATTTCGTTATCACATACTGGACCGTCATAATAAATACAGAGATGCCGTCATAACCAGACGATATCTATGTCTTTATCGCCCTTAAATTTCTTTTTTTCAAGTATCTGCCACGATTCATACTTCAATTAAACAAGACTTGTTATTAACCCTTACGGTGGAAGTTTCGTAGTTTTCCATGAGTGTCTTGAAATGCAAAATATCAACATAACTTTCCTCCGCCTAATGCTATGAATAAGGAAATTTCGTGATCAGTGCGACCGAGTAATTTTTGTATTCGAGTTTTCGGTAATATGAGCATTAGAAAATCAGGTCATACTCGATTTTTGGTTTACCTATTCAATATTTCTTACAACACTTCTCGATTAACCGCTATACTCAAACTTCCGTGCACTCAGTCACTTGTCCGGACAATCTGAGTGTTATTTTATATATATTGAGCCTTTTGACTCATGAAACTCCGTTTTAGAATCAATGTCCTAGACGAAGCCTCCTAGAAACGAATCTTTAATTATACTAGAGACCGCGTAGTCATATCATACTTCGAGTGTTCTTGAGATAATTCAATTCATCCCCTTCTTTGTAAAACGGTAGATATGAAATCTTATTCCATTTCTCGCATTTCCATGTTATTCTACTTGATTTTTATTTCTTTCATAAATGCTCCGCGGAGCAATAGCACGCTGTTCTATTGTATTTTAAACCTGCTCTCATGTGCTGGGTCAGATCGACTGGAAATGATCATTCCCGATGCCCATTAATGGGCTGGAAATAACAAAGCAAAAAATACGACCACGAAAAGATACGAGCACAGATTTGCGGATTTGAGAGCAGGAACCACCCCCAGCTGATGAACTCGCACGTCGCGATGAGGAACGGACACCCGAACCCCTCAATAGCCCGGCGACGCGTCCTTTTCATCAGCTTCACGCCGAACTGTTCGGGAGTGCATTGATCAGTAGTGGATAGTTCTTGCGGTTTTCCTGGCTGATCTGGCACGGCGGGAACCTTTTTTCGGACCACATATCGATCACACACCCATTCAAGCCTCCTCATAAAAGACGCACCCGGCGCGAAAACCTGCGGTAGTGCTTGACAGATCAGGGCGGAATCCGCTCGCGGCTTGTTGTCACTTTCGTGCCCATGCTTCCTCACTGAAGACAAATTTCCGTATTTCATCGGATGCATTTTTCGAGAATGTAAGCCGAGTCTCGAAAATAAAAGTAAGCGATTTTGTCTGCATTTTCCTGGCGCATGATTTCTTCAGAATTTGAGCAGCCCGTTTGATTCCTTGCACACCCAAGCGTTCGACAAATTAATCTCCGCTAATACTTCCAGCATAAACCTAGATCATGAAATCTGGTGGTCGAGCAATGAAAATCGCGGTAAAGATTCGAGGAAGTCGTGTCAATCAGAAACAATCATGCACTGGACATGGGAATCAAATACGTCATTAAAAATGAGACAGGATAAAATCTAAGACGCATCCTGAGTTTTTCAGCCGAGTTTTTTGCTGCGAAAAAGTGAGTCTATAGTTGAGTAAATACGGCATTACTGCTAAGAAAGCTTCGTGATGATCAATGCGTGTCACGGGTGAAATTGAAACTGAATTCCTCGAGATTTACGAGTGGCTTGGTGAAATACTGTATATTCTGATCACAAAAAGTTTCACGAGGGTCTTCGATTGAAATTGAAAATTCACGCGCGGATATAAATTTTTTCGGCGGGAAAAGAGAAGAATTTCCTCCTGCACAGAGTTGTAAGTTTACGTGGAATTCGACGAGCACCCATTTTTTCTCGGCAAATTTCAAGTGAAAAGACACGCTGCAGATGCGAGTTAATCTGTGAATCTCAAATTAAAAGCTGCGGGTGTCCGAATGGCATGGGCAATAAATAATTTATATTTAATCCACATAAAAACTTCACGAGTGCTTTAAAAAAGAACTGTTGCATTTGAGACCTCTTTCAACAGTCCCATAATTCCATTACAGAGTTCGGCTAGCGAGGAGAGAAAATGGCGCATACTTTTTTATTAACTAAGAAACCAAAATTTCCAAACTCATTCAAACTCTTGGGTCTAAAGATGGAGAGCTCAATAAAAAAAATAGTACAGACAACTTCAACGATACTTTTTATGATACGAAATACCACGGTGGAGAAAATGTCGTATGTTCAACGTTTACTCTAAATGATTCAATGTTTTAACGTGACATAACTGAATTTTAAATTCCATGTGATTTCGAATGAAAATGTAGAATCAAGTTTCAACTCATTTACTGAAAACGTTGGCGTTGAAAATTTTCTCATCAATAGTTGTTCACAGTGAATTGAAAATGTTCCACGTGTTTAATTTTCACGGTTTGGGCAAAAATTAAAAAAATAACTAGCCTCTGCAAAAGTTTCCGACTAAATTGTACGTTACTACAGGTTATTGATAGAAGCTATCACGAAAAACCGTGCGTTCCCACAATTTCTAGTGAAGTACTTCATGTTCAAAATGAATATTAGCGGTTCACAAGACGCTTAAATCTTTGAGAACGTACTTTATCACGTCGAAGCCTTTTGTTTTTTGAAAAGTTAGATCTCCTTGATGGAATTGCATCGGGATATTTTTCCGTCGAATGAGCAACGTTTCACATAGTTCCGAGGAAGTTCGGGGTTCTTTCTACTCGGGCCGAATTGCAGCACATCTTCTGAAGTCTTCGAACTTTCTAAAAAATCCCGGGCTTTTACCTTTAAGTTCTCTCTCTCAAGACTTGATGATTTTCTATTCAAAACCCGGATATATAAAAAAGGTCGTGTACATTTTAAAACAAAAATGTCTGCCTGGTAATGGAAGGAGCGCAGCGATGATCCTATTTGTTCAGTCACTTTTTTAATGATTTAAAAGGAAGATTCTTTAAGAAATAGGATATCTGAGACCAAGGCCGAATTCACGTGACTGGTTAATATTGTAATTTCAAAAAATCTTGAAACGTAGCTTTAAAAAAACCTGAGATGGAAAGCGTTTGAATTTGAAGATGCGTTGATACGACGGAAATCTATTCAGACAACTCTGGTCAGTAAACAAAATTATTATTTTTATTGTGTTGACTTGTGCTTGAGAAATTCTTTTAATGTCTCGAATTATCCGGGTAACCACCTGGGGAATCAATTTCCGTGACATGTTCAGCAGGTGCCTATATAACAGCCGCGGGTGCATGATGGGCCCCTCGGGGAATCAATTTTAATGAGGAGATTTAAGCTGGGTGCCAACATTTTTGCGAAATAGCCAAAAAATAGTGGCCCATAATCATGCAAAAATCTAAAAATTTCAGGATACACTGCAGCTCAAGATAATACTGTATTAGCCTTTTTGCATTATCCCCTCAATATTTCTTCGCAGCACAGTCTCTTCTGAGATGAGATTCCGGGCATGCGAATACTGCTATACGCTGTATAGTATATCTGGAGCAGATGCGGCACCCGAGTTCCTCACAACGTTCTAAGAAGCTGGGAAAGTGCAACTTACCATTTGCATGATCACAAATAAACATTCAAAGAATGTCGTAACAAATATAAAAATTTAATCCACCAGTATATCTCGGCATAACACGGTATTACTAATATGCTCAAGAATCCCGCAGTAAATTAGCCCACTTCAAAAAGGATATAGCATCTTAGACAATCACACATGAAATTCAGATTATGATGTTAAATGCCTTTTATATGACTGTACTTTCTCAAATACACCGTGCAGCGTTTTCCCCGAAAATCAGGAAAAACCCATTGGAATGCGCGTAATGATCGAAGAACAAACTTTTCCTGTCAATTTTTCAAAATTCTTGTGAACATCCCCGTTCGATCCCGCAACAACCATATTTTGAAAGAGAAGCAAATTGAATGTAAACGAATTCTTCTTTATATGAGCATAAATTAATAATTTCGCTGCGGAAATCTTTAAATGTTGTACCTGTACATTAAATCCTTTCTCTCGCCAAAAACTGGGGTGGGCGTCCTATGAGCGGAAAATGTCCTGCCTAATTTTGCGGCTCAAGAACGAGGGTGCACATCTTATGCTAGGGTGCAAGGCACTTCGTTAAACAGAATATTTTGTCTCGTCGGGGCCGTAAAGCGGGAGCAGATTAAAAAGAAATTTGCAATTGCATCGTCATCTGAACCCCAAATGATCAGATCTCAACCGCTCGTATATGTTACTTTCAAGCTGACTTCAGTGCTAGTTACGGAGAACGTATAAAAAGGTACTGCACTGCCTTGTATGTGTAACGTGCTGTTGCGCGGCAATAGCTGTCTCAGTCTTCCTGATGAAGACGCATTTGAGAGGAAGATTCGGATAATACTCGGGATTTTTCGTTTCCGGCGCCAGGTTGATGTGCGACGAGGGGACAGAGCCGCGTGAATGAGAGCAGAAAGAAAGAGTGATAGGAAAGGAAGAGGGAAATAATAGCCGGACGGATCGAGAGGAAGGCAGATGAAGACGGAAGGACGCGGGAATGAGAAGCAGTGACAGCGACTCCAAGTCCTCCGGCCCGACGGGGACTCCGGGCGAGGCGGCGCACCCGCTGAGTCCCGGCACCCTGGTGAGCTCGTGCAGCTCGGACGGCGTGCCGAGTATGCCGATAGGTGTTCAACCGACGCCACCACCGCCGCCTCCGCCGCAGCCGCCGACGAGCGGGGCTTTCCGGGTCGCCATGGGCTTCAACGGCGCCAGTCCCGGGCACTGGCCCTCCGTCACGGCCGCCACGGCGCTCGTCGGCTCCATGGTTAACTCGTCTTGTGATCGCACCCCGCCGAACCTGATCCAGCTCGCCAGCGGGTTCGGGAACTTCGGCCTGAACCCTCTGCTCGGCGGCATGTCGTCTCCGCTGCTACCGCCGCCGGTCTTCGGTCTGCCTACGCTTAACTTCACGGCGGACCAGGTGTCGGCCGTTTGCGAAACGCTGGAAGAAAGCGGTGACATCGAACGTCTCGGTCGGTTCCTCTGGTCCCTGCCTGTGGCGCACCCCAACATCGCGGAGCTGAATCGGTGCGAGGCGGTGCTGCGCGCTCGCGCCCTCGTCGCGTTCCACACCAACAATTTCCGCGAACTCTACCACATCCTGGAGAACAACAAGTTCTCCAAGGACTCGCACTCCAAGCTGCAGGTCATGTGGCTCGAGGCGCATTACCAGGAGGCCGAGCGGCTTCGCGGGCGTCCTCTCGGTCCCGTCGACAAGTACCGGGTGCGGAAAAAGTTCCCGTTGCCGCGCACCATCTGGGACGGCGAGCAGAAGACGCACTGCTTCAAGGAGCGCACCCGGAGCTTGTTGCGCGAGTGGTACCTCCAGGACCCGTATCCGAACCCCACCAAGAAAAAGGAACTTGCTCAAGCCACGGGCCTCACGCCGACCCAGGTCGGTAACTGGTTCAAGAACCGTCGCCAGAGGGACCGGGCCGCCGCCGCCAAGAACCGGTGAGTGGATCCTCATTTCCTGAACGCTTATCGATCGGGATGTACGTACAGTACAGTACTGTGCGTATATTTTGTATACGTTTCATGAACTCGAATCCCCCCTCCTCGTTTGTTTCCACGCGTTTCTTTCATGGCACCGATGAGTTCACCTGCAGTGCTGTAGTCCACTGAAAAAAACTGTACCAATGAACGTCTTTGCTCGAGCCAAACCCTTGATTCTGTGCAACCATCGGTCAGCATTGCCATTTCTTGCAACTATAAGCGAAAGTGGCGCTAAAATCGAATGTATTGTCTGAGTGTGCTTATGTACAGTGAACGATTTGTTCAGATGAAATTCGTGCTAGAAACTGAGGGAGAAACTAAATCAAGGCTTCATAGTACTGTACAAGGCACCGTTGCTTTAAAGATGCACACCTTTACTGTATATTTTTGCACATAAATAGCTTCAAAAATGAAGACAACGTTGAATGTAAGAAGGACCTTCATCACATTCAGTTTCTTCGGAATCAATGAAGTTTGTCGATTCTCCATATGATTCACATTTCAGTTTGATGATTTTCAACACTTCCAAAGTAATACATTATTCCGAATTGTGTGTCCTTGAATTCGAAAAAGATGAATTTATTTACATAAGAGATTGACTCAATTTTCGTCTGAAAGATTGGGTGTATCAGAAAAACCACGCGGTTTGCAGTTTCTGCGAATCTGAGACGGTAGCGGAATGCAGGAAATGTCATGAGTTTTTTAAAGCCGATTTTCGCGAATAAATGACTTCTTATTCAATTGTGTACGTCATCTGGTTATACAATATTTCAATACGTCGCATGAAAAAAGTATGAATGGGAGCAACAAGTTCATTTCAATGCAATGAGCGAAAGATCCACTCAATATGACAGGACACGTTGACGGGAAGCCCCTCATCTTTCAGTAATTCGACAGTTTTTTTTCTTTCTTGTTCCAATTTAATTTTCTCAAAGTTTTTGTCATGCAAAACTGTCGGAGGTTTAATTTTCAAGACATCATAATTTTTGTTAGCGTTAACCTCACGTTCTATGAACAATTTTCTGTTATCGTGTTCGCATTATGCAACTCGAGTGAAGCAATAAACACACGATTGGGTCAAACGGATTGGAATCGGTTTGATGTCAATCCTGCGTTAACGAAATGTGCCTCGAGGCATCAAAACCGTCTGCTGTGAACTTATCATTGTGAAATGATGTTCTTGGTAGAAGAATATTGTTTTATAGACACTGTAGCTTCAGCGCAATAAGCAAGAGAAACAACTAACAAGGCCCTATAGAAAAGAAAAAGAAACCAGATTCAGTTTCGGCACTCTGCACGTCCGTCCGTTCACACGAAACAATGTTACTGAAGTGTTTTTTTCAGTTAATCAGTTTTGAAGAAATAATTTTCGTGGTTGACTAATGAATCTATAAAATGTATCCATATTGCAACACAGTGATTAATTTCAAACGTCGTGGCTCTTCTGATGTGAGAGTTGTAGGAAGATTTTCCGCAAATGTTCGACTGCATCGCTTTATGCCTCCTGAATTCGAGTAATATCCCACGATTTGCATTTGAAAACAGACCTAGTGAAAATAATTGTAAATGACGAGAGGTCAACCTGTCACCCGCTGTCGAAATTAATTTGAACCATGTTCCGAGCACTGTGTTGGACTAAATAAGAATCGGCTCAAATTGAGTTTGCTTGGAAATGTGCCGCGCTAAGTGGCATCCATTGGGAAAGGGTACTTGAAACGCATGCCTGGCATTTTTCAGTGAAGCATGCGACCCTCAGCTTTTCCTCTTTATTTCTTCCTTTTTTATTTGCCCGGAGCCTTTTAATTCTATACGATACCGAGTGTTGCCTAGCAAACAGAGAATTTTTGGAACTTCCGCACAATATCCCGCATACATCACCATTTTTTCCTGTTTTGATGCTTCTAGTCTGAGAACATCCCTCGATTCAAAAGTTGAGAATCCGCAACATGTTGAATTTTTCGGAATAGCCGTCCCGATCGTCTTTCTTATACACAGTTCTCCAAATTTCATCGCTTGAATGTTCTTTTGCCACAAAATTTGGGAAATCGCCTGGTTGAGGTGTATTCAAATTTTTTTCCATCAAAATCCGGCATCGGGAACATCATATTGCAATGCTATTCGATTGTTTCAAGATAAGTAACTAATAAACGGCTTACTTTAACCCTCTTCGTAGCTGTACAACTCGTGGAAGACTGTGGGTCGCTCAAACTAATGATCATCCTTTTTTCGGTCGAATGCACCACTCTCGAGGGACACCCGCAATTATTAATCTTAATATTTTTCATCGCTGCTTTAAATAATTAAAATTCCAGCATCTTTTTCCAAAAATTCTGCTGGTTTCCGCTTTACCTGCAGTCATCACTGAATATATATGATGGGATCAAGATGGTAGCATCGAATGCGGACGACCGCGTCGCGGTTTTTCGCGCATCGCGGACGCAGCGACCTCAGGTGTGAATTTCCTGAGTGACGAAAAATGAACGCTGCGGATAAAAAAGGAAAATCGAAACCACGCGAAATTGCGGATGACTGGGAAACAGAAATCCCAGAGGGTCTCTCCTGCGCGATGTCGTTGAAAAAAAAAAGCTGGGTTCCTGGGCCGCTCAGGCGGCGCGAGCGCGGGTGATGAAAAGTTCGCGTGACGCGGAACAGCTTGTTTCCCAGCAGCACTTGTACCATAGTCCCGCCGTGGGTGTCGAAGTCCAATTAGCCGGAGGATCGCCCGAATCCCACATGTCGTGACGTTTATAAGAGCATGTGTTGAACGAAAACGAACTGGTTTCCGCGGGCACCGATACGTCTTCTTCCCTGAGACCCCGGGTTCCGCTTGCTGCTGCTGTATATGCTGCTCGGGATCGATAGACAATCCGTTCGTTGACGGCTGGAGGAAAACCTGGGTTTAGTCGCCCCCTTCCGCGCGCAATTGCTACTATACCGCTCAATCAACTCGCGTGGATCAATCCAGGTATGGCTCAGGAATTCGCGCTGTCCCATTATACTGTATACCCATTTCATTCAAATATAAAACTTTATTCATTTCAAAAGGAACCCTTTCCATTGCCGCTTCCTGAAAATTGAATACTGACTCACGAAGTCATGAAACGCACTCTTCTCGACGTTATCTAACTCAAAAGATCACAAAAATGCTCATCATAAGCGAAAGCTGATCTATCGATAACTCTATGTCCTGGAATTTTCCGGATGCAAATATGCTCGAAATTGAATCCAAAAATGGAATCCGAAACCTGAAGCAATGTTATGAAGTGCAATTCATCAACGATTTCCCCTTATGATTCAACATGCGTAACCCGTTCATGGTGAAGCTGTAAGTGTGAGATATACAGCGACTTCAATAAATATTGCAGTGCTCGATACTTCGTTTAATTACATTTGATTTTAACTTTTTCAATCTGTCTGAGTCATAGTTTCATCGCTTTCATGAGATAAACATGTTTTTTTTCAATTCGATATTTATATAATATGGACGGCGTTCTTCCTACGAAATTTTTTTTAACTCTGTTAAAGGCGCCCAAATTTACGTGATTGTAGACCGTATAAAACTAAAGGTCTTGATGGATGTGGAGGTATTTCTGAAAAAAAGCTATGAAATTCACATTTTGGAAGTTCTGCGCGAAAAATATGAAAAACGCCTTTCCTTTTTGTGGATAATTTATTAAAAATGAGAAAAAGACAAAACTGAATTATGGTTAAGGCAGAATGAGAACTAAGGACATTCGGAAACGTTCAGTGAAGGATGATATTTCAAGTAATTTTAGGAGCATGTGTCATGTACATTTGTCCATTTCCATTATCTTCGGAATAAAAAGAAACTCAAGTACAGTATAAGCCACGCATTTTAAATTGCACTGCGGCCTATATACTGGTATAATCTCCGCATAGGTAGCACTTGGCGATTTCGGGCGCACTTTGTGTGAGAAAAGTGACGCCTTTAACCGCTGAAAACTAGATACACAGTTAACCAATCTCTAAATCACTCCCAAAACAACCTAAAAATTCCCAAGATTCTATCATCCTACGTTCACTTGAGCTCCGAATCAGCTGTGAAGTCCTGGGATATGTGTGGACAGCCGCGAGATAATCGTCAAAACGTTTAAAAATACTGTATGTCTCAGTGCATTACAAAAATAAGTATCGGAAGTTACCGCCGTTGGTTTTCAAGCAACGAAGTCAATGAAGGGCAAAGGGTAATTTCTTGCATCGAATGCAGAAACAAATATTTTGCGATGAGCTTACTACAAGTCAACAGGTTTTCGGTTCTCCGTAGAAATGAAATCATAAAAAGTAAGTCCAGCTCAGTTGAAGCTTCTTCGGAAGCACAGCATCAAGCGTAAGTGATTCTCAATCTTTCGGATGGAAAATCTATCCCATCATGATTTGCATATAACGGGGTTCAAGCGTTGATGCCGTCCGCGGAAGAGTGCGAAAAGTAGATCGCATGCCTCTAGGCTGAAAACCAGTAGATACTTCTGACGGGTTGGAAGCAGCAGTCGAAAATCCATACAGAAAAAGAAAGAATAAGGCAATGATCCTCGAACTTCTTTCATTGTTCAGCTCCTTATCCACATATTCCCCTAGAAAAAAAAAAGCGGTAGAAAGAGTATAGAGACGAGACTTGTTCATGACTCGCCCCGGAGCGTTTTAAAAACCGTACAACTCTCGATGATATCAGCTTTGACGCGTCCGTAATACGGTACAAATACGTCCGCGCAGTACGAACACATGCATGCAGATGCGAGTGAAACACGGAGTGGACCACGGGGAACGATACAACGCCTCTCGGGACAAAAGCTCGCCTGACAGAATAGCCGGTATAGAGATATCCCTGGGCTTTTATTTTTCGGAAATGGAGTGTTATTCTCCGCGGATGCGTCGCGTATCATTCGCAAGCAAATAACCGTGAACCCGGGAGAGAATGGGATGCTGTGAAAATGCAGCATGAGC